TGAGTTGACCACTGGAGCAAAAGCTGTGCCCCAGGACAAGCAGCAGCGCTTGTACGTGCTCGCCTACAAGGAAGCACGAGTGTCGGGCAGGGCACGCTATGTGATGCTGATTCCAACGGCATCAATGTTGGCAGACTGCCTGACGAAGCCTATGTTGGCTCCGCAGATGATGCAGTTCCTAAGTTCAGGATTTGTGGAGGTGTGGAATGAGCTGAAGCACTTCATCCAGCTTCGACGGCTACCAGTTCTGCAAGAGCTGACTGAGGCCGACCTCTACAAGAGCGATGAGGAGATCAAGAAGAAGATCCATGAAGGATCGAAAAAGGTCATGATGACCATGGTGGCAGGCTTCACCCCGAAGCCCTGGAAGTGGATGATGATGGCCATGCTGGTCAGTGGAGTGAATGGCCAGCCAGATCAGGAGAAAGGCCAAGATGGTCAGGATTGGTTTTTCTTTGGCATCATCTTCACCTCCTATGTGCTCCTCCGAGCGATGGAAGAGTTCATCAAGTGGCTAAATCGGCCACCAGAGAAGCCGCAGGAATTCTACAAGAAGAAGCCCGAGCAGGACACACCGAAGAGGAAGAGCAGCACCAGCTCAGAGAGCTCAGAGCCAGGGCTCGGACCTTCAGCCCGGCGGTTGAATCTTGACATGCCGACGATGGTGTCGGCTGAGTATGATAGAGTTTGGGTCACTGACAAAAGTGGCACCTGTTTTCATGTCTCGCCTGACTGTCCCAGGATCAGGCATGCTGCTGTGTCGGTAAAACGCCGATGCAAGAACTGTGGCACATGCAAAGCCCAGAGCAGCAGCGGAGTTTAGATTTTCGCACCTTACGCAGGGCCCTTTGAGCGGTTCAAAACAAGTGATAGTATGTTGTACATATACAGGTCGTCGGGTCGTCTCATTATATAAGTATGTTTGAACAGTTATTGTGATATTATGCTTCATTATATCGATATAGATATGATGTTTCAAGAACCACCAGAAGACACGCCTAGAGTCGAGTGCTTCTTGGTTTGATTCTGTTTCCCCGAGCTTCGGGACGAGAAGACCATCAAAAAGACCTAGAAAACCATACGGTCAGACCATAGAGGACCAGAAGAACGGTGCGGTCCGGCGAAATGACGTTCCGTTGGTTCCGTTGGAACTGGATGTCATCACTCACCCTTTCGCATGAATAATGAACATAATATATATATATATATATTTACAATGTAGGCGGCAATAGGCCTTATGTTTAAAAGGTTCCATGTCATACCAAGAGAGGTTAAGTGACCTTAATAGGACCTAGTTGGGGTACCGGACGTTTATAGGGTTCTTCAACCTCTGTTGGTAAACTTTGGAGTTACACACACCTCTCGCGTTTCTCATAGAACTGGAGCACCTCGGACTGGGCCACGGCACCGCATAGGCCAAGGCACCGCTCCTGGCCAGCGCTGTGTGGACACAGTTTTTCCCCGTCGAGAAGGCGGAGGCGGCCTGGGGCCGGTGTGTTTGGGTCGTTTCGGTGCGTTTGGTCCCCCAAAAATCGCCTTCAAAACGGCGAGACGTTGGAAGCTTTTTGGGCAGGTGTTGGGGTCGGTGGTGATTTTACCTGTCTTCACTATGGATGCGTTTGGGAGGATTGGCGTAGCGGCGCAGAGGCTGGCAAAATTACGACACGTGGAACCAGGAAAACTCCTCGGTTCTGTTTGGACTCTCTCGCAGAGCACCTTTTGCTTTCACTTATGAATTCAGGGTTTGGAGAGCACCTTGACTGTCCTCCGACGTACACTTAGTAACACTTTAGATTTATATATATATATATATGTTCCTTTAAAAAATTGATTTTCTCATAAATTCAAAAAACACAGTCAGGCCACCCTTAGAGAGCACCGATGGAGGAAATCCCGGCAAGCGGCCTTCTCGATGCGACGTGAGGAATTTCCAGCACGGCCGATGGGACGAATGAAGTTTCCCGTGTTGGAGAGACCACCCCAACAGGTGTTGTGACTCCTGGAGTACGATTGTTGGTGTTTCAAACCCACCTGGATTCCAGGTGTTTTGGTTTGACCTCCGAGGGTTAACCCACGTTCCGAGCCCAGCGTCCATGGAGTCCATGAGGATCCTGTCTGACTCGGCCGGTGGATGCTTGTTTCGCTTGTTTCTCCCACGCTCTAACAAAGATAACAAAGAAGCCAAAGCACTAAGCCTTCGATGATGAGTGACAGGGCCTCCTCATGTGGGCTGTTTCAATCCGAATTCATCACTGCTTCTTCTGGACGCCAAACGCCAAACAGCAAACAGCTCGCAGAGCTCGGCAGGTGCACCAGCGTCATGGGCAGATTTTGGTGGTCCCCTCCGTGCAGCAGCTGGAAAGCTTCCTGGATGCCCAGACCCTTGGTGTGGGCGCTTGGTGCGATGCCGGGGAGATGAGGATGTGCTGATTGGGATTAGTCAGTGAGTGGAAGACGGGTGTTGGTCTTCATGTTTGTGTTGCCTCCATGAATTCACTATGACAACGTCATGACCAAATCACACTATCCATTCATATATTATATATGTTTATATATGGCTGTGGGTCAAGACCCGGAGCCCTGACGTAGGTCGTTTATTCTGTTCATGTTCTGCTATTCTGGCTCTATATCATGGCAGGAGACCGTGTGTTTCTTCCCATACTGTAGAATCCTTGAGAATGATCAACTGGCGATGGGACTCGAGAGGATGAACGAGAGTCTCACCGATGAGTTGGGGGACTCGCTTTCACCGCTTGCAGCGGACCACCGGAGCGGGGCCGATGTGGGACGAAGGCCTTTCGTTGTGACCTGCCAGAGGTTGAAGAACCTATAGTTCGACTATCCCAATTCGGTACCCCAGGTGACGGTCCTAGTTCAGGTACACAGAAAACACCTCTCTTGGTGGTTGATGGAGGTCTCCTGGGGTTGGACTCGATCCCCGGTCGTTTTCGATCCAGATCCGTGGTGAACGGGCGGAAGTCGAGCGATCCGGTTCCGCAGCGGGAGCGCAGTTCAGAACGGTGAAGACGTTGGCAACCCAAGAGAGGTGGTTTCGGTGTACCGTAAATAGGACCTGTCACCTGGGGTACCTATGCATGGGATAGGCTATATATAGGGTCCTTCAACCTCTGTTGGACCTGCTTTCAGCTGTTGGATGGGCCGAGCCAAAAAGTGGCCTACCGTCATGAACACTGGCCGAGCCGAGTCTGGGCGACAAAGGTCAAAAAGGTCAAAGACCGGTCCTTTGAGGTTGCAGGTCACTTCAGCATGGGATTCTGACAACCAGGTCCCACTTGGTTTGCTATGATTTGCTATGGACATTTGATATCATTTGATGAGTGGCAGCTAAAGATCCTTGTGAAGAGAAGACCTCCTGCACCAGATCTCTCAGAGAACATTGCCCTTTAGTGGGTAACAGGAGTTCTTGAACCAACGAGATTGGCACCACTAGTACGCTCACTTGGAAGGACACCTCCCTCTGGAACTGAGTTCCTCAAGTAATCATGCCTCAATAGGCACCAAGAGTCACAGGTCGGGGGTGCCGGTTCCGAACGGAGGGTGCCTTCTAGAGGGTGCCCCTGTCAGTCTAACCAGTCCGACCTGGTCTCGGCACGAATCCAACGCCCTCGAACGGAACATGTGCGACGTACTTGTTTCTAATAGCTTCTTGCTCCTAGTAGTAAGGCCAGGAGATACTACTAGCTTCTTGTTCCTAGTAGCGATGCCCTTTGCTCCTAGTAGCTTCAACCGGATCCAGGCCCCTTGGTGAAGCTGCAGGAAGGCGCGGGGTCCGTCGGGTCCGTCGGGTTCGGGTGCCGCAGGGGGCCGCCCAATCTGGATCCACGCCATGGCCACATTGAAGGAATTGTTAAAACAACTGCACCAGGCTGTGAATTCGGTCTCCTCCGGGCTATTGCTGCAAGAGCTTATTCAACATATATTCAACTATGTTCATGGTAATCAATCTAATCTGCCCATCTTTCGGAATGGATCATCACCAAGTGACTTTCGTGACGCAAAGAAGACACAAACCACACCTGGCGCGTGGAGTTACGACCGGCGAGGGCCGTCGGGATCCCCGACGACCACGTTGCGGTTGCGTCACCGTTCTGACACGCCCCAGACAGGAAGGACCTGGACCTGGGACTGACATATTGACCCATCAGGCCAGGTGTGGTTGATTGATTGAAAAGGGGTTTGGTTGTATACTATAGCTATATATAGATATGCACAGGTTAAACCGACCCGGAGTGTCTATAGATCTACTGACACACGTTTTCGACCGACCGACCGACCGGATCAGTGAAACGGCCTGACCGCCGAGCCGCTGGCCGAGCCGTTGGCCGCCTTGCGCAAAGAACACCGTCCCAGACACGACACATGGGACTGCCATAGGACTGCCGCCCCAGACAGACCCCCTGGCACCCCAACTGATCGGCAGTCCTAGCTCCGTATTCTTGAAATACCTTCTCAGGTTCGGTACGACTGGACCCGACAATGGCACCTACATCACAGTGTAGAACATCAATCACCTTAAGGAAAAGGTGCGACTGTTTCTGGACACCTCCGACCAACAAGCGGACCTGTCGAGGAAGGACTGACATGGAAGTCCCTTTGTGTAGTGCTGGACATCTCTCTTCGCGGGGTCTTAGGGAGGGTCTCCATTCATAAAATCATCACTCATGACTGACTGATGTCTCCTTCTTTTTGAGTGGGCTTTCTGTGGTTTGGGTCCGACGAAATCCCCTCCAAAAAGATCAAAAAGTCTCGACCACTAAGTCACAAGTTTTGAGAAGGCTGGAAGGAATTCTCCAAACCGTTGGAATTGTTTGAGGGAACATCGACATCATTTTTGACCCAGCAGTGGTCGCAGGTGTTGGAATACTCCTTGTGGCTTGAGCTTCTGGTTTAACTCTGTATACAAGTCTTGTCCTTTGGAATAAATCATGTTAGAATCCCGTGTCTTGGTTCCCACATCCGTCTTTTCACCAATTCCCCACATGTCGAAGTCGCCAGGTGAGAAGGGCAGTGTGCCCCTGAACTTCCTCCACATCCTCGTGGGCCGCGATGCCTTCACCTCCGTCACGGAGCGGTCTGACCGGGTGACCGGCGGAATCTCCGCGGTGGAAGTGTCTAAACCCTAAAGCCTAAACCCCAAACCCACACACTCCATGCATGGGACAGGAAGATATGCCGCCTCATTGACCCCGAAATCGACCACCCCAACTGATCGGCAGTCCTATGGCAGTCCCATGGGTCGTGTTTGGGAAAAACCCTGAGTCTTGCAGGACGGTCCATGGAACCGCTGTGAGATTGAACGAACATCCATCCAACCGCATCTCAACCAACTTCCAACACTCTTCAACATTCCAACATTCCAGAAGTGGTGTTGTTGGTGATGTCGCTTACAACCAGCGGTGACATTGTTGGTTGGGGGATCCCTGACTCTTTTGTGAAACTAGCATGAGGCCTGGAACCCAAAAAAAAGGTCAAGGAAGTCAACTTTTGTGAGCTGAGTTCGAAGCTGGCCAACTTCTGCTTCCTGAGGATTTCGACCCTGGGAATCCGGTGATTTCACTTGGACGCCAAACGCAGTGGTTCACATCGTCAGATCTCGGTCACAGGATCGTCAACTGGAGCGAGTCACTCGGTGTGCTGGTCCCCCAATTGGCCGGAGGTGTCCACTGGAATGTTTGCGCCCAGCTGACATGTTCTCATGGACAAAAAAAAACGATCCCCTCTCTCTCTCTCTCTCTTCCCGGTCCGTGCGTGCAGGACCGCACGCTCTTCTACAACACCGACGGGGAGCTGAAGAAGGCGCCGCCCTTCGGGACCTTCGGGCAGGTCCTTCGGGCGTGCGTGCGAGTCGACGAGGGCTTCTCGCGTCGTGCGAAGACATGACTTGGAGAGGTGAATTGGTTTTAATTAGGTACATCCCGGAGGTTTTTGGGGTTTGGGTTGGTTAATTTCAATGAATCCAACATCTGTTGATGTGACCGGGTGCGTCCCCCCCGATGCGGCAGCTCGCTCGCTGCGGGGTAGAGCATTTGAGAGCCACCAGACCTTCCAAGGGGGCTCTTCCAGCCAGGTGACCCTGAACGGAAGGTGCTGGAGGGTTGATGTTCTTTCGCCAGCCGGGAAGCTACATGAAGCTATACTGTATAATTACCATGACAATCATCCCGACTGAGTGTTGCTGGTTGATGAAGAGACATGGAAGTGGAGCAGACCTCGCTTGTCAAGTTATTCCTGGCCAACTTCTGTCCGCCTGGCACATCGGTGAATCCTCTGGGTGGGTCTGGCACACGTTCCATAGCTTCCTTTCCCCGTATGCTGGCACCCCACCGCACGGGGGTCCCCCCCACTCCGAACCGTACGAGGACCCACATTTTGTTTCTACATCAAACACATGAAGAACCCACCTGGCCGCCAACTGAAACCTCACACACGACCTCCCTGCCTCCCTGCCTCCCGTTCCATCTCTCCGTCGTCCAGGCATTGAAGGAATGCCAAGAGATGTTCGCTCGAAAGGCTGAACTCCTCAAGACCGCCCGGGCACCGAACGGGCACGACCGGGCACCGACAGAGGGTCCACCCCACGACCGACCGAGGTCGACTGGTCTGAAAACGCCCCAGCCGCCAAAAGCTCCCAATGCCCACGGTGAAGCAGTTTTTTCTGAAGCATGCTGAGCTGGAGAATGTGTTTTTGATTGTTTTTCAGAGTAGATGGTCTTCAGAGTAGAAGAATATTTGCCTCGCTCCGCGGCTGATCAATCGTCGCTCGTCTTGGGTTCCGGTGGAGGTCAGAGGTGGAGGACTTTCTCAGGAGTGAAGGTCGCAACAGGACTCGTCTGGCTTTCCGAAAGAAGCGTCGTCACCGAATTCGTCGTCACTATGGATTCTCCTCGGTGTGACGACTTGGCCGAACTCCCAGGCGGGTGTGGGGGAAATCTGTGTGGTCCGGGGGCCCGAGCGAATGGGCGCGAATGGGCGCGAGTGGTCGATCGGCGTTCGATTCGATGTGGATTCACTCTGTTGGACTTGCCTGACTTCTTTTGGAAAGGCTACTTGCCGGGAAGTGAGGATTGGAAGAAGCTCCGCGGTGAATTGATTCAAGAACATTCCAGAACTGTAGGCTTTGGGTTGTCTCCGCTAAATGCCCAGGGAAAATATGGAAACATCATTGAATACTGAACTTCAACCACAGTCCAACCACAGTGGTGCTCACTGGATTCATTATGGGCACGAACATCTAACAATTAAAGAGGACCCAAGCCTTCAAAAATTGACCACTTAACTTGACCTTGTAGTTGACTTGCGGGTTTAGATTTTAGATTGGACAGCCTGTCGCATTGCTTGTCATTACCTGTTTAAATGTTTATTCAAGATGTCAAGCCGTTGCGAAGACCCACAGCAGCACTTCAACTTTTGCCAATCTCAACTCTCAACTTTATCATATAGATCGAAGAAGATGCATTCAGTTGGAACTGCTGGCAGCTGATAGGAGGGCCGCTGAGACGGGCGCTGATATCAGGCACTGAGAGGTTGATGGTTAGTGCCTTTCCAGCGTGGGGTTCTAATTTTTCTCTCCGTGCTGCCGCCGCGTGCTTCTCCTCCTCCTCCTCCTCCTCCTCCGAACCCAACTCACAAATTCACCTGGACCCTGAAAGTTCTGAAAGTATCTGAAAGATTCTGAAAGTAGGTACGAGTATTTGTTTTAATAGGGTCATGTCCCTGGCCTAGCGCGTCTCTGCTTTGCTGAGGCCATTCGTTCGGATCGTCCGAAGTGTGCGCGATAATAGGGTCATGTCTACTTTGGAGGGTCTAGGAACTCACCCCACATCAACTCACACCAACTCAGAGCTGTTGGTGCAGTCCGCTGCTGGTTCCCCTTGGTCGTAGTAAGGGTTAGTCGGTCGGTCGCTGCTAGCGCTTAATTAGAAAGAAGTTGTTACATCTTGCAACTGTATGGAATTGAGGAAGTAACCTCATCCAGGGTGTCATTGGCAACGGTGAGGCGAGAAGATTACAGTATTCAAAGCAATGACGCAAAGGAGTGCCAAGAACAAGATCACTGCTGGGAAAGGCTTGACAACAAGAAGGGCACTCCTGCAGATGAGCTTCTGCCCTTTCGGGTCATGACCTTGGCCAAGAATGCGTACGTGATACAAGAGAGGGAATGGGGCTGGGGAGAAGGTTGTGCCATTTGCAGAAGTCAGTTGCAAGCGGCTGGTACCTCGTAAAGGGCAAGGCTTTGGGAACGCAAGAAGTGCAGGCGCAGCTTCATGCACTCAGCTGGCCACCACCCTACGTCAACTCTGCAAACACAGCATGCAGCCTTCCCGCAAAGTTCTACACCTCATCAAGCAAGCCATGTCAGCCGGCTATGTCCGGCTACTTCATGGGGTGGCCCACCGGAGCTGGATGGTCGCAGTGGCTGGCTGAGCACATGAAGTGTGCACCAACCATTGCAACATAGTGGCAGTGATGAGTAATTAGTTAGCAACATCAGTGGCCATGTGCAACATCAATGGCACTGAGATCGTGGTTGGAGCCTTTTCGGAACCACAAAAGGCGTTCTGCACCGAACAAAAACGTCGCACAGCGGCACAGGGAAGTTCACCTAACCAATCCTAACCAGGTTCTTCAGAGGCACTTCTAATTGTCCTGGATTGTGAATATCCTACTTCAAAATTTGAAGACACATCTTAGGAATCCACTTCTATTTTCGGGGGTCCGCCTCAAAGAAAACTTACAACATAAATATAAAAAATCAAGAAAACATCATATCATATCATATTATATCATACATTCTCTCAAAACAAGTTATATCACACGTTGACCTGTGCAACGGGCGCTTCACCGAAGACGTCCTTCGCCGCCGTCCTTTCTCCGTGGACGACCGATCCCAGGCGTTGCCACAGCCTCCCCGCTATCCTCGCTTCGGCAAGTTCGCGCTGGACCCCGACACCGAGGAGCCGGTGACGAGTGCGGATGACGAGTAGCCCATCACGGTTGTGCGGTTTTTAGGGACGGTGGAGAGGATGGTAAGACGAAACAACATGGACGCCAGTGATGGTACATGATGGCACAGCGCTCAACATTTAGCCAGCAGAGTGATTCTTGCGGGGATGCGAACCCTCACTTTTTCTGCATTTCCGCTGTATAGTGTAGTGCTTCGACAGAAGCTGTGGTTATTCCCAGCTTAAGCGTGAAAGAACAACTCTACAAAGAAAGCGAAACGATGGAGTCCGGCACAGCACCGCACGGGGAGTCTTCCGAGCCCCAACGAGCGATCTCGCCAAGAGGCCATCACGAAGTACTGGGAAAGAACGTGGACCCTCACTGCATTTGGGACCTATAGGGATCCACCTGCCACCGTACCTCAGCAGGTACGACTGGGCCGGACCCTGGCGCCTACATAAATAGTCTCCATCCTCACCGTACCTGAAAAGGTACGACTAGATCCCTAGGGGGATGTGGTTGAACTGATTGCTCCTTTCCAGTACCACCTGTGCATCCTTTCAAACAGGCGCCGACCTCGTGTTTCATGGACGGCATGTGCCAACCAACATGAACCGAAAGCAGCGTGTGTGAAGTTTTGCACCAAAGAATCCAAGGAATGATAGTTAAATAATATTAAAGATGATAATGTTTACCCTTTATATACTGGGGATGATTGATCCCATGTACAACTCTGTTTCAAGTGAGCTGGGATTTGGTTTTTATATCTTGAAAAGACACCACCCTGAAGCTCACAACGTCCCACCATGGAGAGCCGCAATGTTGAACAACGACGCTTTGCTGTGGGTGCGCGCGTGGCATGCCTCACAGCTGATGGCTGGCTGGAAGGCTGGCTGGGAGTGGGGTATGATCATGTTCTTGGTGGAAGATGAGTGAGTCCAACAGTGGGAGTCCCCGGGTTTTTCCCACAGAACATGAACGGAAGAACGACGAATTCCGAGGTCAACCTACTCCGGTGAGTGTGCGGTTCCGGGCTCTGGGTGCCATGACCCAGCCGGATGAGTTGGTCCAACGTGGGAGAAAAATATAACCGCTTTGGCCGCCGAGGGGCCCACGAAAAACGAAGAGGAAGCGGAGCAACTCATCATAATTCATCACTCATTTTTTGTTTCACGACATGTGTGTGCACCGGAGAATATCGATGTTATTCGATGTTATATACCCGGGATTTAGGAAAAGACATGGAAAACAAGCTCAGGGATCCCAAGAATCTCCCCCATGAATATGGAATCGGAGTCGCCTGCTTTTTGACGCTTCGTGCCCCCCCCATTCGCCGCTCGGGCTCAGGCTGAGTCCACGTGTGACGGTGGAGTTCCCAAGAAGAGTGGATACTCGATATGGATTCACAACCCTCTGAGAAGGTGATTTGAGACACTTTGATGTAGGCGGATGTAGGGGTTATGTAGGTGCCAGGAAGGCCCCAGCACCTTCTGAGAAGGTATGTGGATCCTCGTTGTCATATAACTATAACCTTTGAAACGGTGGAACCGTTCGGCCCATCTACTTTGAAGCATAAGCAGAGCGGGCTCCTGGCCTACCTCCATTTCGAAGATGCTTGGGGTGGGTGCCAGGAAAGTCTGAGGATCTTTCTCCAGAGGTCCTCCCAACGAGACACGAAGTGGTGTTAGGACAGCCGAGCCTAGCCTGCGCGGGCCAGTGAGTAGCTGGTGGGTGTAGTGGACTAGGGAGACCCTGAACTGTTCGACCTTTGGGACAAACCATTTTTGTTGGGAATTAGAAGACAAAGCCAGCAGATCTAGGTAGACACCTTCTGGATGGTGCTGTGAACGGCTCGAGGGTGCAGATCGACGTCTCCTTCCGCTGTTGGCCCCAGGCACCGTGGTGCAAGTGGACTTTGATGGTGATCCGGCGGAGGGCATCGTGCCTTATTTGGTTGAGCTTGACAGTGGTGGAGAGGTCCTGGCGCCCAAGGCGCAGACTCCGACATCGGACGCGGCTTTTGCTTGCAGGGCTGGAAGCACACATGTGCTTCAGGTTGAAAATGGTTGAATCAGATCCCAGAAATTCCTAGAACATGTATACTGTGTGGCATATTAAGGCAAATTATGATTTAAGATACTATATATGGCAGTCCCGTGGAGTGTCTGGGTATTGACAGGTGATTGGATTTGTCGCAATCGTTCAGTCTCAGGAAATCATCTGGTCCCTTTCAAGCCCCTCCTTAGGCAGGGTATATCAGGGTATGCCCTGCAGAGTACTTGTGCTGGTAGTAGGGTAGCGTGAACCCTGATATAGAGACGCAGTGTGCAAATGGTTGAGATGGTTTTAGGTCTACGAACCTTCCATGGCTCTACAGTTGATAGACCACATTCCCCCCAAAATCCACATTCCACGCTTGGTTTGGTGTTTTGTGTTGACATATAGGCCCATAGGCCGTTTCTTTTTCAACACATGGCTAACTCAGCCCATGACTTCATGCCTTCGGACGGGATGCTGGGACCAGGTGGACTCATGTCAGAGGCAAACGGAAGTGCGCAGAAAGAGTTTTGCAAAAACCTATTATACATTATTCTACTAACATCGTGGAAGGCGCGGGTCATTCGTGGAATCCGGGGCTATTCGTGGACGTTTCGTGGAATGGTGGCTGCAACAAAATCCCAGAAACCTTCGTAGAACTTCGTAGACGGTATTTTTGATGCACTAACTTCGTTCAGGCGATTTTGGCTGACCCCCTTTCTCCACGCGCCCTCCGTTGAGCCTTCATCATGACTCCGCCGCCGGACCCGTTTGCGTCGTATCTAGGATACGGCCGAGCTGGTCGTGGCCGCTGGGCAACAGCCAGCAGAGCCCTGGCACGTGACGCAGGCTCGTGGCTCGGAGCAGCGTGGCTGTAGCGAGTCCAGTCCCCAAGCTTCGGTGGTGGTGAACAGATAGGACATCTCTTGGGGTGCGAGTGCCATCAAGCCTTTGAAACCACTGTAATGATGAACACCAAATGGCAGCCCACAAAGAACTGGGTGGCCCATTGGTAGCGATTGTGTACAACTCCAGTGCTTTCCGCTCAGGTGAGCTCCGGCGAAGGGGCATGGAGTACGCTGGCCAAGCTAAACACCCAGCCACCCGGCAGTCGTCATGGGGTGTGTTTTATTGATTGTTTGACTCGTCATTGCTCCCTATTGGTTTCGTTGGAGCTATTTGAGGATCCAAAGCAAGCCTGTCCATTACAACATCTTAAGGCTCCCCAAGCTGTTTTTCTCTTCGGGGTTGCTTGAGGAAGGCACCTTTGGTGGGCCATGTAGGGGGTCAAACATCGGCTTGAGGCCGGAGGATCAGGAGCCTTTCTGCTGGAAGAATTCGGTCAGGAAGAAACCATTACAGTGGGCCATCAGAGGTGAGAAATGGCCCGTTTCCCCCGTCAGATGTCCTGAACAGATGGGTGTCCCCAAAACAACCACCGAACTTGGGATAACTTGTGCCATTGGTTCTCTGAAACCACAAGAGAGGAAGGAATCATTCCAGCTTGATCGCTCTTGTGAGCCAACCGAGGGTAAAGTTTCGGAGAAAGGAGCCATTCCAACGTAGCATGCCTTGTGTGAGCCACCCGAGTGTAAAATTTAGAGCCATCCCAAAGTAGCATAATTAGTCGAGGGTAAAATTTCGATCAGGCCTCAACTGCCTGACATGAGCTGCGGATATAGAGGGTGCATGTCCAAAGGATTGCAAACAGGCCACCCAGACTGCTGCCAGCGGGCCCCAAGATTCTAAACAATGATAATCTGTTACAAAAATGAAAGACAAATGCATACCGTACCCTTTCACGCGCACTCCTTCCTATGGGTGCAGAAGGCATGGACGACTTGTTCCTCACCTGCACTGGATCCCCAACGAGCGTCACTACACTCCCTGGAACTAACATGGTTACGTGGAGAATGGCCCCGAAAGGAAGACCATGAAATCCACGAACCAAACAGGTGGTTTTCCACTTCCATGTTAGTTTTCGGGAGTGTAAGTTTAATGACCACTCGGATTCATTGCCCTCCAGCGGGTCGGACAGTGGTGGACTAAATGGGACGCGGTGAAGATAAGAGGACGGCCGGACAAGACGTTGGGGCATCAGTTTACTGGCGATGACGTTTAAGGGTGGTCGGCATTGCAGGCAAAAGGTTGGCCAAAATCCTGGGCTGCCAATATGTGCTAATACTTTTAAGACACAGTTGCTCACATTTGTTGTCCCCTTCTAGAGAAGTGCGGCTGTATGTGACATTTTGGATGTTGAGCATCGCCGTTGTTTTAGACTGGCCTGGTGGCGAACGTGCTTGGACGTGTGTTTTGCTTTTGTTTTGGAAGCTGCTTTCATCATCCCAATCCTAAAACGTTGAAAGACCTCAAGTTGTATCAACTTGAGCTATTTCATCACACAGGTCGCATATACAGGACAGGCTAACATCATCTAACATCCACAGCTTCCGGGATTCGAGGAACGAACTGCTGATTTCCGCGTGTTTCACCCGTGACCCTCGGAAGCGAGGCTTTGTTCCAGCCGAGTCAACTGCACCGGTGGCTCCTACCAAGCTTCCTGGAGGCCACCAGTGCTTGGCGCAGCTCCGGACAACCGGAGCAACTGCAGATCCGGCGGCTGCCGAACGTGCGGCTGGAGACTGAAGGCAGGTCTGGACGAATGCTTTGGAATGATTCACAGTCTCAGGAAGGAATGGGAGGTCCGACAGAACCGGACGGCTATTGGGGCGTAGAACAGGTGATTGGTTGAATACAGTGCGATGCGGGGGGGTGACACCAGCAACCACTTACCACGTGGACACGTGGTGTTTCGGCCATAGAAACACCGGGACCTCGCCGCAGGAAGTCCCGCCTCACAGTCCAGGCATCGTCTCCTTCGACTGTTTCACCCAGGAGTTCTGCAAGATGCTCTTGGAGGAAGTTCTCAACTACCAGGCGCGCGCAGAGGTACCCCGGAGTCCGTCGACTGCGTGGCGCAGTCAGCCGTAGTCGTCGTTTCGCATCAGAGCTGACGAGCTGGTTTAACATTGCAAAAAGAAGTGACCAGCCAGGTGATAGTTGATTGAATTACTGGCCTTTGACTCTAATAAAATAACATTCCCCACAAATTGTTCTCCAATTGCCCCTTATATTGGCCTTTCACTTGAGGCGTCCGGGTTGCCTTCGCGGCCTCCCAACAGCATGATGCTCGGGCAAGAAACAGTGGAAAGGACCAAGGACCACTCCCTGGAATCGACGTGGACGTGGATGAGACACCAACATAGTCATCCCGAGACACCATGCCAATCATGATCATTCCAAGGAGTGGAAGTCCATGAAGTATGTGCTTCCATTTTCCCTGACATTCCAACGGCTTGCATGGAAAAGGGTTGGCTTCCAGACCCCTTTTTTCCCCCACGTGGGTCGGGTCAGTCCCCGGTGATGGGTCGGACGCGGATGCTTTTGGTCTGTATTCCTCTTGGGTGATCTTCTGACTGGTGCGACTCGCAGGGAATGAGGGAATGGATCCAATAGAGTCTCTACTGGGGGCTCATTCCCTTATTCCCTACTAAGCGTCAGTCTTTCTAAGACACGACATATTTATAAATGTGCTTTTCTGGGTGACTGCTACTGGACTGATCGGCAGCGACTGATCGGCAGCTGAGGTTTTATCACATGAATCAGCGCGTTTCATTTTGGATGACAACACGCAAACACCAGAGGAAACAAACAAGGCAAATCGTGCCACGCTAATCGTCAAATATGTTTGTGGGTGAGATAGAGTGAGAACTCCTTTATAGTGAACCAATCACCCGCAAACAAGTTGCAACACTCGTTCCAATTCCTTGCTTGTGGGTCTTTGCGCTTGTTTGCTTTTTGCACAACAAACCCAGCCAGGGAAGAACTCAATTAGAACAGTTTTGCCGACCAAAAGAACTAGGAAGAATGAGTCAGCATGGGAAATATACCAAACAAATCAACCGAATCAACCGAAGCAAAGCCAGCACTCAAGCATACTCTAGCCTTACTCAAGGAGCAACTATGGCCTTGTGCTCAACGAGATTGGCCTCAAGCCGGTCTTTTCTGCGCTGCTGGAGGACGTGTGTTGAATTTGTGTTCTTGTGTTGTTGTTTGCAAGATAGCCCCTAGTCCTAATTGTTTGATGTTGCTTTAAGTGTCCTTGCTGCGCTTCACTCACCCTTGGTCTAGCCGGCCTCAAATGCATCCTCCAGGCAACATGAAATACCTCCAGTGTCCTTGCCACGGCTTGAGGAGCATCTCCTGGGCATTGCTACACGGCTCTTCGGGCCCATCGAGTTGCAGGATGCTTTCACGGCAGGATCTCAGGGATTCGAACATTGGGGCGGCGACAGCTTGTCGGCACACCACACCTTTGTGGTGAGGCCGCCCGTGTGCGTCGCGTGCGATAGATTTTTGGGTCCGGGACGCGCAGGTTAAAGCGTCTTGGTCGCTTTGCCAAGGTGTTTTGGGATGTAGGAGGTAGACTAGTTACATCTGAATTCAGCGAGTCCGGTCTGAGTGTGCGCGTGTGTCGGGAGATCTTTAGCCTTAAATGAAGACCTCATGAATCCCAGTGGCTGGGTGGCCTGTTTCGGAGACAGCTTTAAGTCGTATGTGATACCTTTGGGCCCCAAAAAGCCATCTTTCTGCAGGTATCAGCCGGACGAGGACCGGTCATTAGACATGCACGTGGACGAGTGTGACGTGACCTTCAATTTTGGTCTCACCAACTCGGACGACTTCCGAGGCCGCTGGGCGCGGTGTCGCTGCGCGTGTCTCTCTTCCGCTGGTTTTGAGTAGTTCAGGATAGATGAGCACCACCAAGAAAATACATATAGTACGTATGTGATTACTGAAGTTGGAACAACAGTGACCTTTTGAGGTCCAGGTGATCACTTGAGGGCGGAACCAAATTTTAATTTGTCGACAGCAGCTTGAAGTGGCTGGAAGGAACACTGCTCATGCAATGATACTGCTCATTCATGATATGAATGTGGTTCCCAATGTTGGCCACAGGGGGATGGCTTTGAAACTTGCTTTCAGCACCTTGCTTTCAGCACTTCAATTGAGTCTGCCCGCTGGTTCCTGGGAGTTTTCCCCATGACCATCCCCAATAGGTTGCCATCACGATTTTGTCATGATATGGTTGATGCTGTAACGTTGTATGATGTTGTATGAGTTTGTCCATATACCCAACCAGACTCAGTTAGGGACTGGCACCTGAAAACCATGCAGCGATCGATGTGCTGGGCCCAATGGTATCTTTTCCGGTCCCCCGTCCCCCCGCGGGGCGGCCGTGTGGTCGGCCCGGGTGACCGATCGCAGGCAGTGATTTGGCCTTCTGTGGGATGTTAGGATCCGAGGAGCACCGAGTCTTGGCGGTCTAAGAACGCACGCACCACGGACGTCCGACCGTCCGCCCGCAGCGCCGGAAATCGGTTCAGCGGGTGGATCTCGCTGTGTCGCCGCTGATCGTTGAGAATTCTGAGTGATTGCCGCTTGCCGGTCGCAGCGAAAAGGAAAGCACCTGCACACCTACAAGCACCGCTGCGGTCGCTGCGTGGTGCATTTGGGCAAGCGGCGGCATGGCGCGCTGGCGATCTCCTCGGGTCGCCGGATGAGCCTGATCATGTGGTGTCGCTTCGGTGCTTTTTTGGGGCGGTTTTGGGGACGGGAACATGGGACTCCATGGGACTCCATGGGACCGGAAAAGATGCACTTGCAAGTCCATTGGAGTGTCGGGATGCAATGAAGGCTTCAAAACCAGGCACCCCCTGGACCCAGGAGGACTATACGCTGGCCATGCCACGGTGTGTTTCTGGCAAGAGAAAGTTTACACAGTAGTCGTGTTACTCCAACACCCATTTAATCTGACCCCGACTGACACCCTGAGACACTTCAAAGCAACAAACAATGATCCCGAGCTGCTTCAGAAGCATCCATGACTGGAGAAGTTGCTCACAGCAAGTCAACTGCTCACACCGGCTCATCTCACACCAACTCAAGTCATGCCAACTCAAAAGCTCACACCATACTGTGCTTACAAAATGCCATTTTCAGGGGTCATTCTATAGAAACATGTGTGCATGGTACCCTGGAAAGATAAGATCATGTAGGAGAGGGAAGTGCATTATATAAAGAATACAGATTCCAGAATATGGATACCTCATGACATTGACCGGAGTCTGCCTGAAGTACTGTCATTGTATAAAAGTGTTGGTTTTACGTATACTTTATAGACAATGATGCCTCGCAGGTCATTTTATAGCAGCTAAGTCTTTATTAAACAAAACCGTAACACGCCACCTGAATGTATCAAGCAAGGGGGATCATCATACATCGTACTCAACATCTCCGCTTGTCATCCGTACGCACTCATCCGCTGTCATTCCTTTCCTGCAGATTTTGCCCACACAAAGCACACGTGGGGTCCTAGTCGGTCCCTTGTTCTCAGTCGTTCGCAACGGGGTGCTGATTGATTCCCCCCCTGAGTTGGTGATATTCAATCTGCCATATTTTAGGAATCAAGCTAAGACTGGAGGCATCAAGAAGTGGTCGGAACTCGGGTCATCGGGCTGTGTTTTTCCTCCCAAGGCAAGAGTCCTGTGTTTCGGCAGTCGGACGAGTACTTGCTGCGCCGTTTCGCCGCTGAGCTGGATTAGACCGACGTCGGACGGACTGGGCACTGTCTGCCGGGGAAAGTCATGTGTGTTGTTTCTGATGGGTAGCTCGGCGGTAGAGGAAAACTCTCCCCCCTGGACCCTTCAAAGTACTTTTGCCAAGAACCATCCGTCCGAGACATAAAGCAAAATGGAACCTATTAGGAATGGGCTCCAACCTACTAGCGATGTCCTCTAACCCTATAGCGATGGCCTCCAACCAAATATTCTTTGGGCTGAAGGCGATTTAAATTGTCATATAGTATGGAAATTATCGAGATCGCCGCCATGTTCCCGAAGACGTTCTGATCCGCTTCGAGAGGGTCCAGCTTTGAGGCTTTGAGCCATCGATTTGTTCTCCAAATCCCGGATTATCCAAAGCGTGTCCAATGACTACTTCAGGCCATAAGGGGCATAGTTAGGTTTTTTTTCGCAGATTCTACGTACGCCACAGGTTTGCAAAGGACCCATGACGAGTGTTGATATGTATTAACTCCATGGGATGGCGTTCAATCGAAACAAGCTCAAGGGCTCGCCCTTTGTCGCCGCGTCGGTCCATGTAAGGCACCCAGAACCCGAAAGCGGCCCCGGTCACCGGACCGCGTTTGCCTCTCCCACGAGCACGACTCCGACTACGAAGAAAAGCTCGAACGGCTCAGCCGGCAGCGCGGCGAACCGCGGCGGTTTCGAGGTTCAACAGCCGGCCAATGATGGGCTCTCACGGAAGGGAGTTCAAACGAGGTGATCAAGTACCACCGTGAGTTTTGCGGCATTGCAGCATGGACCTGTGCCACTGAAAGTGGCTGAGCGTCGTGAACGACGGACATGCTCTCGATTTAGGGTGTTCCAGCCTCAGGATTCGACGGCGCCGTGCGGGCTTCGTAACCGGCTTGAAAGTGGCGGGCCTGGCGGGCCTAGTTTTGTTGATGAAGAGCCATGTTGACTATCCATGGCGAACAGGAATGAACATGGCACGGCCATGCACTGGCAAGGGCCCTGCAATGGCAAGGGCCCGATTTTAGAGGCAGCCCACAGACGTCTTGATCCAACGTTCTTCACATCCACATGCGGTTTGGGTCATTGTCCTTTCCGGTTGCAACAAGCGGATCTGTACATATCTGTGCGGTATACTCCATTGTTCCGGTGCCTTTGCTGAAGGTGGTGGTGACCGTGGGTTGATGCATCCTGCAAGCTGGCGTTGCACCATGGCACAACTGTCGAAGCGGAGACAGACGAAAAGACAGATGTTCTTGCGCTGGTGGCGGGTGAAGGTTAATATAATATAAATGTAATATAGTTCATAAATGTTATATATAATTCATAATATATTCTGCTTTTTGATTCAACGATTGCACCAATTATTGGTTTGATCCCTCCATAGTTTATATAGCCATACATTTGCATTTGGATGTTTACATGGAGTTTCTTTTGCATCTACTTTTATAGTCTTTTATATACGTTTACATAATGTTCTTTTCCTCCAATAGTTCATGGCACACCCCGGACCCATCAACATTGGATCATCTTGGATCCACTTCATCTTAACTCCCAGCTTGCGTGGAATCCCCTTGGAAAACCAAACCTCAAAACCATTCGACTGGAGGAAGCGCGGGCTCGGCGGTCTCTCCGCGCCACAGGAGTGGTCGGAGAACGAACTGGGCCGCGATATGTGGCCTTCCTTCCCTGGCATGCTGGAACTGTGCGGCGGCCCAACATTTGCAAGTCAGACTTGGTCTCGGATTCGGATCCTTCGGATCCTGTGATTCGGATCTTGTGCTAGAACTGCGGTCTGGACATCTGCCGGCCGAAAAATTGAAACCCTTTGTGACCGCCCCAGTGTGGGGCCAATTGCCCGGGACCGATCCGGCCTTGAAGACCATCGGTCGCTCTCTGGTTCGGTTGGTCTTCTACTACGATACTAGCTTCTTGTTGACTAGTAGCGATGCCAATTGTTCCTATATAGTAGCGATGCCAATTGTTACTAGTAGCTTTTTGTTCCTAGTAGTAAGGCCAGGAGCCCCTAGAGTAGCGTCCGATCGCTCCGAACGTAGCGATGCCATGCGATGCCCTTTGCTCCTAGTAGATTCTTGTTTTACACGATATGGAGGATTGGGGCCTTTGACTCATCAAGAGTCTAGATTGCCTACTGATCAATCATACCTTCTCAGAATGTACGACTGGACCCGACAATGGCTACATCAAAGTGTGGGACACATCACCATACCTCAGAGGGTATCTTAGATCCATAGGCATTCCATGGGTTTACTGTTTACGTTCTTTTCTTTCGCATAAGCCCTTCAGATGTCTGTTCCATGGGTTTACTGATACATCAACTCGTTTACTCTTGACCCTGAAGTCCTTGAAGTCCCGGACCTGGTGAAGCTACGTTTGGTTGGCGTGCCGAACGTGACCGTCATGTCGGTGGTTCACCATACGTCCTTACCTTCCGCACGGTGGACCCCATGGGCCCCTGCACGCCGGCGTTGGGCGGTGGTTGGGCGGTGGTTGTTGGATGGAAAAGACCTACCCAGACACGAGCGCCATCTGGGACTGCCATGTCGGACTGCCGAGTTTCAGCCGAGATCTCGGGGTGGTGATGCGAAATCGGGGGGGTTCTGGTGCCAGGGCAGTCCTATTCCAGTCCCGTGGAGAGGATGGGAATAGTCAAACCGGTACGTCCATGGTCACCAACCAACCATCACGGACCACGCATGTTCTCAAGTAGTTTCTCAAGTATATATACCTGGAACCGGGTTGACCTCTCTTTTGAGCATAGGACCATGTTTACGGGTCTCATAACATTACATATGTGAAAATACGCACCTTTCCCCAAAATACGTCCTTTTCATGATTTGAGAAATCTAGCATTCTACATATCTCAACACTCCAACCCACCTGAACAACCAAACACACCAAACACTTCTGCAAGAATCCTCCTTCCCACCGCCATCCTCCGCCCATCCGCAGCCATTTTCACACGGGTGGTTGCATCCAAGTGCAACCCTGTGAGTCGAGGCCCCAGATTGGGGGTGTGGCTCATGTGGACCTGAATGCCAGACACCACAACTTCTAACAGTGGAGGTCAAACAACAGTTTACCAAGTATGAACTTAACTCTCAAGGGTTCTTCAGTTTAGCAATCAGGGTAAGCATCCATTCCACGGATGTCAACATCGGCTTTCTTCAAAGCCTCTTCATACATGATCAAGCACCTTAGCATCACTGAGCTGTGAAGGCTCCTACTCGAAACACGCCTCGAAAGTCGAGACGGTCGCCCGATAAAATCCTCTTGGATTTGATTGGTGCGACTCAAAGGATTGAGACAAAAATCAACTTTGGACGCCTGGTCCAACAAACCGTGAGCATCGTGTGAAATCATATGATGCTTTGGCGTCATGCTGAACCTTCGCTTGTGCTGCTGCAACGTGATGTTTGCACAAATCGCATAATGAGCCAGGAAAGTATAAATCCAATTTCCCACCTGCTGTGCTTTTGCCCTGCACATCCAGAACCCTGAACGGTACATTGTCCCCAGGGCCTTGTTCATCGCAAAGGCGCCTGAAGCCTCAGCATCAGCAAATGCAATCAGCAAAAGGTTAGTAGACACCAAACCCAAAAGACAGAAAACAAAAAACACATCTAGTTGTGCGTAAACATATACTGAGTAAAGCAAAAGGTTCAATGGACAAAAGCAATGGGTCGTGAGTCTTGTTCACAATATGCTCTTGGCAGAAGTGATCTAGAAACCACATCAATTGCGTTGACACCACTCCCTTCGACCACCGCCCAATAGGGCATGTAGAGCCCTGTGGAAAGCCCATGCTTTCACGACTGATCTCAGTGAGGAACGGAGTGGAACCCTTGGAGCGAAAGAAGGAGATGTACAAAGAAGTCAGCCACTGGAATTTCACCTCCACGGAACCTGGGACTACACTTGGCAAGGACGATTCAATGATTCCCACAAACGCACTTCCCAAAAAGTGTTTCGAGACTCCAAGGTGGAAGTTGTGCCACAAGTCTGTCATGAAGAATGCAATGCGCTCAGGGTCTCTCAAAGGCAGCCCCTCCAAAATCTTTGGAAGGGATTGCCATGCCACATGTTGGTGCAGGGTGCTCACCCAGGCTGCTTGAGGCGACATGTCCTCGAAGGGAATCGACCTTCGATCAGGGCCCCAATTTTCAACCCCTGCTAAGCACAAGTGGCAAATGCCAGCGCATGCCTTCTGTGAGCGTGCTCCACGTGGTACGTGGCTAAAGCTCCGAGAAAATTGGCCCAACCGGACCAACGCAGGCAAATCCCCCTTCGTTCCGATGTGTATCAGGTGAACCTTGCGCAGGCCGTCCGAAGAAACCACTCCGTTGAAAAGTAGTCTTTGCACATCCTCGGCGTACAGTTTCACAATTGCATCTTGCGCTGCAGGACACTTCGAGTAAACTGTTTTGAGCATTCCCGAAAAGATGAACTGCGTCGACCAAGTCCCACCAACGAACGACAATCCCATCTCGTTCTGTGATAGTGGCTGTTTGTGACACTGAGCACCGATGTAGAGGGATGTCCCTCGACCAATTGCTCCGTGCGATGACAACACCCAAAAGCCCAAGTGTTTGTAGGATCTACCTTCATCGGTGTGGCTGTAAAAGGGTATGCAACAATCCAGGCATACAATCCCTTCATCTGCAAGGTCAAAAAGTTCAGAAGAAGGTGAGAGAGCTTTGTAACGGCGCCAAAATTCAGCGAGCACCTTCTTCATTTTCTCAAAAGAATCTACACCAACCATTTGCCGTGGCAATCGGCCTGTATCAAGCAAGTACTTGACCCAGGAACTAAGTTTGATAATTGGCCAGTTCTTGACCGTTTTCACACCATCCACAAGGTTTCTACGCTCGATTTGCACTGTTGAAGGAACGAGGCCATGCTTCCTAAAGATCCTGTGGCAACCGCTTTCTGCATCTTCCACACGGACACGGGCAAACTCCATCATCGGACGACTCGGACTGGGGTTCGCCGTAACGTGTGCACGAGCAAGCTCCACCAAGTGCGAGCATGGGGCCTCGGCAGCGCCAGGATGTATCAACATGTTTCGATGCATCTGTAAAGAGAGGTGGAGGTGAGGGGGCAAAAGCAAACCGTCTACAACACTGAAGTCGCACAATCAAAGGTCAACCTACTTCAGCTCATTAGTGTTCTTATAATGGCGCATGAGCTGGACAACACAACAAACATATATCAAACATAACATATCTAAGATACTTCGAACACCATGAGAATGAAAGAAGGTCAATGCTTGCAACTGACATGCAGCGGGCAACAGTTGAGCTACATGGATGGATTTGAGATGCGATGCTACTGCTGTCCCAAGCAGCACGGACATGTGTTTTCCCTAAAGCAGTCCAGTGTGAGAGCTGGTGATTGTCACAACACTCTCCTGGCTTGGTCAGCACGGGCAGCTGCTACATAAACAAAATATGGCGGTGGAGGAGGGGGGATACGATTGAGGGCCCCATCACCACCACTCCCTGCAACATTCCTGCAACCCACATGTTTGTGGAATTCATGTATCAAAGCGGCTTCGAGCATGTGGACAAGATCCACAGAACAAGATGTGGCTAAAATCCACATCATGGAATAGCCCCCGTTTCTGTACAACTCAAACCGATTGGGCGGCATAGATGTAACGCCAATTTTGAAAATGCAAAGGCGAATGCCCATTT